ATCAAGATTGCTCTTTTTCAGAAGAGGTTTAACAATTCCAGTTTTCAGGGAGTTTGGAAAAGTCCCAGAAAGAAGTGAGGCGTTCACCACTTCTAAGAGATCTGCTTCTAAACAGTTACTTCATTACTTCATTGCTGGAGGGTAGATGCCAAGAGCTAAAGCAATGCATGTAGGAAATGGAAGTCATGCGCCATTTAAGCCGCGATACTCATTTAATGCTAATTGACTGGTTAGATCCGACTGAAAACAAGAGAAAGGGCCAATTACAGCTTGCTTCAGGTCTCATTGGAAATGCTTCTGCTGACCCTCAATGTAAAATTGTTCTCATTGATTTGCAATTAAATGCTTCCTGTGTGAAGATTCTTTTTTTTCCCCCAAGAATATTCAAACAAAATGCAGAACGGTTTCAAGTCACTTTGATTAATGCCGCCTGTAAAATACCCTTTAAAAGTTTGGGGCCAAGATTTTTAATGTTTTTGAACTCTTATGCTCTCCTTGGCTGGATTTATTTGATAAAATGCAGGAAAAACAGAAATATTATGAAATATATATTGTTCTTGTTCTTATTTATATTGTTCTTGAGTTAATTTGACACATAGTTTGGGGATTCATACAAATAAAAATCTTTTTTTCCCCAAATCAATAACCATTTTGATATTTGAGGCCATTTCATCCACAGAAAAATGTCTTGCACAGATAAAGTCTTTGCGATATTAAACAGACCATCATGGGTTTGCTGTGTGCTACTGGAATAACCTCGGCTCTCTTCCTCCTTTTGTTTATTGTCGGTAGAACTTTAGAAGAGCTGCAGCGGCGGGCCAGCTTGTGTTGTGATTGCGTTCTACTGATTACAGGAAGATCTGGAAGTGATTCCACAGCTGATTATGTGGTCAGCGAACAAAGACGCTCTTTCTGAATCGTAGCATCCGAGCAATATCGCTTGCACACAGGCCAGAGCACCTGTTTAAGAGCACTGGAGTAGAAATAACAGACATCGATGGTTTGGAGTGGAGGGGCAGGCTGTAGTTGACCTGAAAGAGAAGACTGACCATAGAAAAAGAGAGTTTAACCAAATAACTCTATTCTGCCCCTTGAAGCAGCCTTAAGAATGCAGTGCATACTTGTTGAATTGTTAATTACTGTAGGTTGCAGTACTGTTCAAAAAAATTGGGGTCAGTAAAATTGAGTTAAAATGTTTTGCAAAATTTAGTAAAAATTTACAACAAAAGTTAGAAAAAATTCAACTTTCTGTTCTTCAAACAATTCTGAAAAAAATATCACAGTATCAGACTGTAACTGTTTTCAACATCGATAATGAGAAATGTTTCTTGAGCATCAGATTAGCATATACTGAACATTTTAGTGTCATTAAGATACTATTATAGTTTTTAATTTCTTGAATATTTTTTTCTATTTTTCTATTTATCATTTTAATTTTAATTTTAAAGATTTAGTAGTTTTGTTGTGTTTTTCATATATAGTTTTTATTATTAATTATGATTTATTAATTTTGTTTTAGTTATTTGTTGTCTGGGTAACTGCTTGAAATACAACATTTTTCATATGTTTTATTTCAGTTAATATTTATTTTATTTCAAGTAAGAATTTTCTAATGGTTTTAATTTTAGTTTCCATTTTAGTAGTTAACTGTAATAACCCTGTTTCTGCACTATAATGTGACACTGAAGACAGAAAATTCACCTTTACCCTCACAGGAATCAATTTTATTTGAAAAAATTTTGCAATAGAAAATACTTATTTTAGGCTGTAATAATATTTTTCAATATTACTGTTTATAATATATTTTTTTATCAAATAAATGCAGCCTTGGTAAGCATAAGTGACTTATATTTAAAATATAAAATCTTACAGACTCAATTTTTAAATGGTTGTGTAATATTTCAGCGACAAGAAAAATACTAAATCAGATGCTAAATTTTAATGACATGTTCAGAGGCTTTAAATCTCACAATTTTTCTGCTCTAATGTTGAATAATATATTTCAGACAACTCTGGCCTTAAATGGCACATAGGAACATTACAAACTGTGATTGATCACTGACTGACAGAATTTATATGAGCTGCATTCTCTTGCATGACTTAATATTTGATCTGATTGGCAAATGTTTTAAAAATAAATAGTATGCAGTATGCAGTGTGTCACGAATCCGGTCCGTGGCCTTCCGGCCGATTGCCACTAGAGGTCATTCTACTATTACATTGACTCTCACACTACACAGACTGTTACATGTCACTCCGGACTACAGTTCCCATCATCCATTGCACTTACACAGCTGAATTCACTGATCACACAGCCGTC